AACAAACAAACAAGCAAACGAATGAAAGATTATGCACCTAGCCGTCCATCCCCAGCTGTCTACAGCTAGCTAGTTCATAGCTAGCTGTACGCAGCTAGCTGCTCGCAGCTTCATAGCTAGCTGTTCATAGCTAGCTGCCTACAGCTACCTCTCCCCACCCAGCTGCCTACAGCTAGCAGTTCATAGCTAGCAGCAAGCAGCTAGCTGTTCATTGCTTCATAGCTAGCTGTTTATAGCTGGCGTGCAACCCCTCGCAATCCTCTACTTACATCACCTGTGGCCCTAGCGGCTCTGGCAGGCCCCGAGCTAGCTGCAGATAGCCAACCATTGAGGAGCTCAGCTAGCTAAATCTAGCCAGGCATTGCAGTGCGTAGCTAGCCGCCGCTATCCAAGTGTTCTACACCGTAGCTAGCAGCAACCGTTGCTAAAGTGCTGCAGCGATCTGTCACTTGTGCAGCACCAGCTCCAGCAGCGGTGTATAGCCCCTGTGTCTGTCCTTCTGTCTCTTTCTCTCTCTATATCTCTGTTTCTCTTTCTGTCTCTGCTTATCTTTCTGTTTCTGTCTCTCTCTGTTTCTGTATCTCTCTCTGTCCCTCTCTCTATCCATCTCTGCCTCTCTTTCTCTCTCTGTCTGTTTCTCTTTCTGTCTCTGTCTCTCTTTCTGTCTCTCTCTGTGTGTCTTTGCTGTATTTGTTGCCTCTCTGTACCTATTCACTCCTGCTTTCTTACAACCATACATTCCCCCCAACTCCATATAACTAGGGTTTAGGGTTTAGGGTTTAGTGTTATCCTTGATGAGTCTGCCAGAGGCAAAGCCCCGCAGCGAACCATCCGGCAGCCGCAGCAGCAGCGAGCCATCATCAGCAAGGCCTTCCAGAACCCCGCTATATCTCCCCTGCTGCTGCTGTTGCTGCTGCTGCTGCTGCTGCTTCTGCTGCTGCTGCTGCTGCTGTGCGTCTAGCAGCAGAGCTACGCGCTCGCCGCGGTACGCCAGGTGCTCTGCAACAGCAGCACGTAAGGGAGAAAACCCCTGCTGCTGCAGCAGCAGCAGCAGCTCACCAAGCTGCTTATGCAGCAGGCCTAATACTCTCTCAACAGACAAATCGGTGTTCATGGTATTGTTACTTTTGCTGCTGCTGCTGCTGCTGCTGCTGCTGCTCTGGCTGCTGCTGGAGGCGAGCAAAAGAGAAGAGGGAGGCGGCCACATGGC